CCGGTCAAGGAGGCGAGTTGCAGCTGGGGCCCTAGCCCACCATGTCTGGTTGCATGATGTAATTTAGGAAAATAGCTATCAGCTTGTGTAGCAGAAGTCCTGACAATGGTTCTTGTGTGAAACAAATCTGCAAACAGGGGTTGCAGGCTTTGTTCGTAAATACAATTTTAACAATATTGTTACAGTGTATTTTGTATAGTGGTTATGGGCAAATCAAAGAATTGCCCTTTGAGCTGCACGTAATTTTTTTTTAACTCTTTACTAGGCAATACTAACTGGGACAAAATATTATTAACAAAGAACACAGATGAGTGCTTTAAGGGTTAATTAATAGCATTCAGCTGTGCATACCACTGCACAACAAATATAAGAGAACAAAAATTAAACCTATGTAGTGCAACGCTAGTCTTAAAAAGCAATTAAAAGGAGAAAAAAGCTGGTCTTCAAAAAATACAAAATAAAAGGGACAGTGCCAGAATTTAGGAGTTGCAAGGAATGCAATGGGAAACGCAAGGGTACAATCGGAGCAGCTAAAATTAATTATAAGAAGCAGTGGCGAAACAATTGCCATAGTGACTCAGGCGGCCGCTATGGGGCCCAGGCACAGGGGGGCCCGGCCAGGGCATCCCTCTGATGCCGTGTGGGCTGCCTGGGTCGCTATGACATGTAAGGGTACTGGCTGTCAGTAACACAGCTCAGCAGCGGCGTCTCCCCTCAGCCGCTGCGTCAGTGACAGTCAGCAGCTATGGCAGAAGAGGCCAGCGTTCGCAGTGCAAGAGCCTAAGAGCAACCCCGCCTCCTCTTACATCACTGGCCAGCGACCTAAGAGCAGGTGGGCCAGTGATGTAAGAGGATTGGGGCCCGTCGATAGAAGAGGAGGCGGGGCCCAGGGATGGAAGAGGAGGCGGGGCCCAGCGACCCCCTTTTACTTTATAGGCCAGCAGAATGATGGTCAGCAGGAAATGTAACGTTTTCCATTAGTGATCAACAGGAAATGCCCCTTTTACTTTGGTAGCCACCAGAAAATTTCCCCTTTCACTTTGGTGGTCAGCAGGACATGCCCCAGTACATTGCCAGTCAACCAGTTTATGTAACTGTGAGTTTTCCTCGGCAGGGAGCCTGTAGTGATAAACAGAGAGAATTTTAAAGTGTTCCTGCGCCCAGACTATAGACTTTATGTCCTCATTCACACGACAATCGACCCACATGTACAGCTCCATGCTGCGTGCACGGCCGTACCGAGCAGCTCCTGGGAAGGACAGGTGCTGTGTGTGATTAGTAAGCAGCCCCCGTCCTTCTCTATGGGAGTACGTGGCCGTACGCCCCCCTACGCTCTCCTCAAGTGCAGGTTCGTAGGGGTGCATGTTTCCTGGCTCGGACGCAGACAAGATTCATCCCGTCAGCGTACGAGTATCTGCACGGACGTGCCAGGCGGGTGAGCGTAGGGGGGCGTACGGCCGCGTAGTCCCCTAGAGAAGGATGGGGGCTGCGTACTAATCACATGCAGCAACTGTCCTTCACTGGAGCTGCTCCGTACGGCCCCGCACGCAGCACAGAGCTGTACGTGCCAGCCGATTCCTGTATGAATGAGGGCTACATTTTAAAACCCTTATTTATTTATCCTCAAAGATATTTAAAGAACACAACAGAGACTCTGAAATCTGGTTTTAGTTGGTTACAGCATCTGCAGTTTGTTTACATTACAAATTTCTGCTGCCAGAGGACACGGGGAGAGGATCAGTGATTTCAGAGCTTCTTTTTTGAGTTGTGAAGACAAATTTATCCACGATATCTATAGCTACAGAGATTAATGAGTGCTTGATCTGAAGTGATTTTACTGATTGCTTAGAATACGTAAATATTTTAATGTGGATGGGGCGTGGCCTGGCTATGGCGGAGTGAAGAAGCACATTGCCTGAGCTCTGCTACCACTTGAGACTTTTCAGCTGATCACGGCATCCCAAACCCTCTTTTTTGATGTCGCAGAAGACCAAACTCCGTTCTAACGAAGACAACCGCCCTCAGACATCCCTTCAGCGCTTCCTCTCCACGCCAGCCACCTCCACCCGCTGTTCTTCTAAAGGCCCGATGGCCCCCGGGACACTCGACACGGCCCTGCGGCCTACTACACCCCCTGACCCTTGGGAGGCCTCGGCCTCGCCAGCAGTCACGGAAACCGGAGATCATATGCCTCTGCAGAGCTCTACTCCGCCTCGATGCCCCAGCCCCATAGCGGAACCTCGCCTACCACTCACGCTGACGCCGTTGCAACCTTCCTCCCTCTCCAACAACGAGATCTCTGCCATCTTGCTCCCCCTGCCCACGATGCAAGACATGGCCGCCATGGTTTCTAAGATGGAACTTGCATTGAAGAAGGACATCGCGACCATCCACAGATCCGTCTCCCACCTAGAGGCTGCGGTCTCCACTCTGTCCAACGACCAGGCGAGCCTAACCCAGCGCGTCGAGCTCCTAGAATCTGGCTCGGCTTCCTATGACCGCCGCCTAACGGAACTCATACTTGCGCAGGACGACCTCGAAAATAGGTCCCGGCGCAACAACGTCAAGCTCCGGGGGCTCCTGGAGGCCACGGCTCCGAACGGCCTGCGCCCAACTGTGACGGCCATCCTCAACACGATCCTGGACAAGGCCCCGGACTCCCCGCTGGAGATAGATCGTGTACACCGCGTGGGGAACCCCAGGACAGAAGGAGATGAGAGGCCCAGAGACGTCCTATGCCGCGTCCACTTTTTCGCGGAAAAAGAAACCATCATGCGCCGGGCCTGGCAGAAAGGCCCGCTTACCTTCGATGGTGCGGAAATCTCCATCCTGCCGGATCTGTCCCGCCGTACCCTCCACATGCGCAGGATCCTCCAGCCGCTACTCGCGGTGATCCGCAGTGCCGGAGCCCTATACACCTGGGGCTACCCGTTTTGAAGCCTACCCTGGTGCTCACCCCCCTTCCCCCCGACCATCCGCTCCCACCCCACTATCATGCCTACACTGACGGTGGCCCGGTCCGCCTTCTCTCAATACTCCATGTCGTCAAAAATAAAAAATACCTCTTTAAATAAAGAATTTACAAAAAAATATATTTTAATGTGCATAGACACAACATCAAAATATAATACTAGGGATGCACCGATACCGTTTTTTTGGTATTGAGTATAAGTACCGATATTTTGCTTTCGGTACTCGCCGAACCCGATTGTGATTGGCCAGGAAACCGGTTTCCCAGCCAATCAGGAAGCCAGTCGGCAAGTATTGACCCGCATCCGGGCTTCCTGATTGGCCGGGAAGCCGGCTCCATGCTGATTGGCTGGAAAGCCGACTTCCCAGCCAATCAGCAAGGAGACGGCTGTTCAGCCGGCTCGATGCCAATTGGCATTCACAGATCCTGACAAATTAAAAAAAACACAGAAGCCTGACAGGTAAGAGGTGTGCCGGGGTGTGACCAGCCCACCTGAGACGCTGCAGAAATAGTCTATGGTGGGCTCTGCAGGGTCACTCTCAGGTGGGCTGTGTGGGATCTCAGGTGGGCTCTGCAAGGGTTGTAACTAGAAATCACAGGGCCCCATACAAAATTTGCTATGGGGCCCTGTGATTTCTAGTTACGCCCCTGACCTAGCTTTTTGAAAATTTAGGGAATTTGGTTGAGATTTGATCAGATGAATATCTAGATCCCAGTTTAGATGTATCTTCATGAAGAAGGGGTTTTTCTAGAGTCGGCTGAGAGCAAAAAATCCCAGCTGCTCAAAACTGGACTTTAGTGGCATATGAAATTTGTAAACAGTAAAAAATATGATGTATGTGGGGCCCCATGAGGTTCCCCTCTCCATACACGTGATATAGGAATTGAATAACCAGAGTAGACCAGTATTTTGCCATAGGCAGTTTGATTCATGATAGGAAGGATTACCCTAATGGGAGAGTTAGGAGATCTTGTCTGATCTTCTTGTAAAAGGTTGAATTAACATATGAGAGTAGTTTGATGGTGGTCACCATCAGCAGTGTACCAGATTGTGAATCAGTGGTTCCATCTGTAAGTAGAGTTATGTAATTATTCATAGGAAGTGACCACTACTGCCTCAGTAGCCATACGGGCATTGTCTTTGTCGGGTACCAGCTAGTCATAAACATTGACTAACTAGGTTGCCAAGAATAAGGGGTGGAATTTGGGGAAGACCTACTAATTGTTGGGGAGCTGCATCCCTCTCAACTTTCTGAAATGAGAAAGAGGGACCCCCCTCCAGCATAATATATTTAGGCAATGGACACACCCCTGCCCCAATCTAGTTATGGAGACCATTGAGAATTTATGCCACAAATAACCAGTTAAGCCCTGATTTTATTTCACACCATTACGCTTCCTTTATTCTGACTTTTCAAAACAACCAACAACATAATTAAGAGATAATATGAAGGTTCTAGTGCAGAATAACATTTTTGGTAGATAAATAGAATCTTTTCATAGATATCTGTACATCAAACCAAAAGGAAGGACAACTGAGGAAGAAAATGACAGAGGGATTTGGTTCCAAATGAGGGCCAGTTGGGAAGTATGGAGCTGCAGTGTTTTGCCTTTAGATACACTTTAGGCGAGTCAAACTGAACAGTAGGAGCTGCTTCTCTTTTAATGCATTATAGCTGCAGTTTCTCACGCGTATCATAAATCTATTGAGCGTATTGTCTCTCTCCTATCTCTTTATGCAGCAGTCATATTAACAAAGCGATGCAGTGGTATGAAGCCGGACCTTGATTGGGACGGAGTGAATTGTTACACTGTCCCCCTGAGCTATGAGTCCAGTGTAACATTGTCTACCCTTCGTGGCTATCACCGCCAATTATAGGACAAATATACTACTTCCATTAAGGCTTTCACACAGCACATTAGTGCTCTGAGGAACAAGTCAGGTTACTCCCCGCAGGGATGAACACACTTGTCCGTTCCCATAATATCAGGCTGCACTGTGAAATATTAGAGATTTGGAGTCACCTACCAGAAATCTTTAAAATACGATAGCTGGTTACTCTCCAGATCCTCCACACTTTTCTGCAAGTATTCTTTTTCCTGAAAGACGACAGTAAATTACAGTATCGAAAAGACAACAATGTGGGCTCCAAAAAAAAACACAAAATAACATTTTTTTTAAACCAGCACATTGCAGATGAAATGAAATAAAGATGATTATACAAGATTATACAGGACATTCTAACAATACAGTGTCTAAAGTTAAAGTTGAACTCCAGGGTCTTAAAAAGTTAACCCTTGCAGTTACACTGAAGCTTAAATGTTTAGCCACTGTGGAACCAGTGTTTCTAAGAAGAAACATTGATCGCAAGATCGAAAGGGAGTGATACATGTAAGCAGGTGAACGTTTTACATCCATAGTGAACCTGCCATTCGTGAATTCTCAAGAATCCTTCTAGTCTGTAATGTAAACATAGAGCAGGTGCACAGCAAGAGGCGGAGAACAGAGTGCTGAGACCTAATTTGAACGACTTCACTACATCTCTTGTGAAATTTGGGAGTGAATTTCTCCACAGTGAGTGCAGCTACAGAGATCAATGAGCGCTTGTTTTCAAGTGTATTTCCTCTTTTGCAGTCAAAATTGAGAAACCCCCACTATATGCTTGTTATATAGGGATGCATCGATACTTTTCAGATACCAGTGCCGATAATTGGCATTTTCACGAGAACTACGGTACCAGGGTTGCAATGGTTGCAGCTGGGACATGGCTCTGGCGCTCCACCACTGTCCTGAAATCATTAGTCTGTATTGTTTTAGAAAAACTGTCACATGACAATAAACAAAAATGTATCAGTACTTGTATCTGTGAGGACTTGGACAAGTATCAGTACTTGTACTTGGAAAACTGGTATCGATGCATTACTTATTTATATTTATAAAAACAAAATCATACAGTAAAACAAAGATGTACAAATCCCAGGATCTCCGTGTGCTCCTTACAAATGACAGCTGACTCCTAACTTTTGAGTTTTTCTCTAGTCTAGTCCTGGAGCTGGAGAAGTATCTGTGCTTGTACTTGAACCGAGTACGGTACTTGCTATCTGTGCATCCCTATTGTTATGTGCTCTTATTCACACAACATACCGAAAAATAAAAAATATTTCCTTCCTTTTAGATATCTCCATTTAGCAGACCTATGCAAGTTTTTCTGTGTCCCCATAGAAAGACTGAGGACAGGCTGAGCTCCCCCTCATTAATATATAATATATTCAGGGCTTTAACGGTTTATTAGGATAGACAGTCCTGCTCATCCGGTTTACATGAGATAATGAAATCTGCAAGACAGGGTTAATTATTTGAAACAAAACTCCCCCTAGCACCCTTAAGATATTGAGAACTAAGCAGCATTTTTGAGACACTGAGTTAGCACAAAGGACATCTAAAACCGGTAAGCTGCCATTTCTTATTATTTTTCTAAGCTATGCTATATCATTGGGAACATGTAACAAATATAAAAAAGTGGTATCCCAATTTGGTTTCAAAAGTGGAAATACACTTTCAATCTTAATTACTACTTGTTAAGATAATGCAAAACTTTCATGTCCATGGCCTAGCCACAGTTCTACTTTGAAGCTGAACTCCAGGCAGACATAAAATGCTAAATTAATACAGCTATGTAGTCATGAATACATTATTAATTGTACTTTTTTATATGCAAGGACTGTAAGTGTCTGAATTTGACCTGGTATCAGCCTCCCTCTGCAGCAGAGCTCGAAGAGGGGGAGCGAGAGGCAGCACAAGGAGCCAATCAGGTGTGTTTCAATGCAAGGAACATGCTGATAGAAAGAGAGAGCAGCAAGGGCTGTGTTGTCTGGCAGAGCTGTGTAAATCTTAGAACTGAATAGAAAAAAATACAAACTCTTTGACAGATAAAATGTCTCCCATTAATGTATATCATCTCTGTCTTCTTGAGTTTTGTTTTAATGGGTTTTAAGTACCCATTGTTGGAAATGCTGACATTACAACAATGACACCTAACAATGTACCTCTGGCCACATTGGATGACAATATCTGAGGTCTTTCTCCAATTCCTTCATCCTCCATTCTTTCCAGAGCTTCAGTTTTTTCCCAGATTGAAAGATTTCCTTAAATTCTTCCACAATCTGATAAATCATTAAGCCCAGTGCAATAACAATGAGGATAAGTCTCCAAATGTCCTAGAGAAGAAGCAGAAAATATGGGATTTCCTCTATTCCGGTGTCACATTATCAGACAGATTCATGATAATTAGGCAGCTTCAGTCTTAAATTCCTCCCTGGGCTGCTCTAAAGTAGCACTGCAACAGAATAAATTCTCTGTTTTCATCTTGCTGCCAGCCGTGGCTAGATTCCGCAGTCAGCAGCTGAATGTAAACAATGGGGAACAATTGCCAGCCTGCTATTGGCTATTTCAAATTACAATAGCCAATAGCAGGCTGGCTATTGCACCCACCCACCGAGCAGAGGAACAGACCTGAGAGAAAACTTTCTCTCCCAGGTCCGCTCCTCTGCTCATTGGGCTGGTGCAATAGCCAGCCTGCTATTGGCTATTGCAATTTAAAATAGCCAATAGCAGGCTGGCTGTTGCACCCACTTGCTGAGCAGAGGAGAGGACCCGAGAGTGAACTTTCACTCTCAGGTCTGCCGCTCTGCTCAGTGGAGGGGTGCAATAACCAGACTGCGATTGGCTAGTTCAAACTGCAAAAGCCAATAGCAGGTTGGTTACTGCACCTGCCCACTGAACAGAGGAGCGGATCTGAGAGAGAATGGTCGCTCTCAGGTCCACTCCTCTGCTCAGTGGAGGGGTGCAATATCCAACCTGCTATTGGCTACTGCTCCCCCTGCCTGCTCACTGTTTACATTCACCTGCTGGAAGATGACTGGGTCCACAGTGGGGAGGGCGGTCAGCCAAGGGGAGTGGGGGGTAGAGTGGCAGGGTGGCCTGAGAGTTACTATTAACTCTAAAGCAACCAGAGACTACAGTTATCCGGCATCTGCCGATCCCCATGGGTAACGGATAACTGGGAGTATATGGTATGTCACAATTGGTTGATCAGGATTACAGGTGCAGAGGATTGCAAATACACATAAAAACCGTTGCATAGACTTCGCTAGCTCACAGGCAGCTTGATTTGTGTTTAAATTTGTCACTAATTTGTTCGATGAATGTCGCTCCATGTGCCTTTATCAGATATATTCTTTTGTGTAAAGTGCATGCATGTTCAGTATTGTGTAAAGCAGGGTATACACGGTTAGAATTTCAAATGAACAAAATCAATTTTGGAAGGTTTGTTCGACCTTCTAATCATTGATGGGGTCAAGTCGATGATCAATTTCGGCAACAGTGATGAAAAAATTGGAAGGAGCATGTTGGAAACAAAAAAGTGAATGTGGGTTTCATTCGTGAAACTCTATTCATTCCAAAACCAAATGTTCAATAAAAAGGAAAATCAAATGAAATTTCGAACGACAATCACCAAGTCTCTGATGGCATTATCGAATGTCTCGGCAGGATTTTTTTGTACGAACGTTCATGCAAAAATCTATCCATGTATACCTTACTTAAACCCTCAGATTTTTTAACATACACCAATACTGTAATGTGTGCCTTACAATAATCCATGGTTGTTTCCCTTCTCTTTGCTGCTCTTCCTTCTAAATCCTCATGTCTTCTCATGCTGGGCAGAACTTCCCTTTTTAGCTCAGGGCCTCTTCCTGTAGTGCTGGCTCAGATTACAAACCTATACAAATGGATACACTTATACCGTGTATCCATTCCTGAGACAAGGCAGTCTGCTGCAAAACAGAAGTTCTGCCCAGCATGAGAACAGATACAGATTTAAAAGGAAGAGCAGCAAAGAGAAGGGAAACAACCATGGATTACAGTAAGACGCACATTACAGTATTGTTTTATGTTTAAAAACCTGAGGGTTTAATGTCACTTTAAGTGGGTCTTTGACAGGTTATTTGTTGTATATGATAAATGCCCTTTTGTTTAGCGTGATCATGTGAGGAATGCAAACTGACACACACTCAGTCTCAGTTCAAAAACAATTCCTAAAGTTTTACAAGTATTAAAGTTTATCTAGCACACTGCTTTATATGCTTTGTAATTATCATAATTCTGACTGCTTGTGCACCTTAACCTTATCTACAAAACCCCCTTCAGAAGGGGTCAGTTTTAGCTGAAACTGGTACTTGTTTACAGTTTCATTTCTTCAGAAAGAGAATGTCAAAAGAGAAAGACAAGATGGAAAACAAAATGGAGGGCAAATAATTTCATGTATATACATTCTTTCACAAGTGTAACACTTCCAAGTATTTATATCCTCTCTCAGGGATCATAGTACTTCCCCTGATAATGCCTTCATCTGCTTTTAACCCCATAAGAATGGCACCATCTTTGTTTAAACATCATCTAGGGTCAAGATCTACTTCCTGGACTGAGATGCTGACTCAGAGATTATATAATCATTTAAATCTTGGTGCCTGTGTAGTTCTTGGCTTTGTTCACAAATGTTTCACACAAATGACAGGTGCTGCACCCTCAGACATTAATACTTGCTACAAAAGTTAAAGGGGGTTATTCACAAAGGAGCCGAAGGATCCAGCCGTAGCTTTGGCTGATCCTTCGGCTCTCTTCGAACTGAAGGGCTGTTGTATGTGCTACTCACTATAGCCCTTACAGCTGCCAAAGGCGGCTGAGCAGCTCAGCCGAGCCGAAGACACCCACAGCGCGGCGATGGCCGGCCTGTCTTTCCGCAAATGACAGCTGGGCGAAGCCAGCCGTGATGTAACGCTGGCTCCGCCCAGTTATAATGACAGATCAGTGTCCCCAAATGAACTGGGGACGCTGAACTGCCATTAAACAATAAGCCCAGTTATAAATTAATTGGCTGGGACCTGATAGAAAACTCTAGCAGGTGCTGGCCAATAGGAAACAGTTGGGCAGAGCTAGCTATAACTCCTAGCTCCGCCCAATTGTTTTTTCATTTTTGTTTCTTTAAAAAAAATCTTTATTTATTTTTGAATCTTTAAATTTATTTACATTTTTAAATAACTTTTCAACGTTTTCTTTAAAAAAAAAACTATTTTCATTGATTTTCTATTCTGCTCGGAGGTACCGAGCAGAAAAGCCGAGCCGAATGCCACTCGGCGGCATTCTGCTATTCACTCACTGCCGTTCGGACGCTATGTGAATAGGGACGAACGGCAGCGAGTGAGCTGTTGGAGCTTCGGCTCAGCCGATCCAGATGTTGGAACTGCCGAGTCGAAGTCCTTCTGCACTTTTGCCCTGCGTGCTCGGCTTGCCGAAGTGCAGCCGATGTACGGCTGATTTCAGCTGATGTACGGCTGAAATCAGCCATACTGAGCCGTAGTGAATAGCCGAACGTTGTTCATCTCACTTCGCTACGGCTCAGTTATTCACTAGGCACCATCGGCAGCTTTGTGAATAGCCCCGAAAATGTTGAAGTCTGATCACTAGGGAAGAGGAGACTGAGGAAATGCTTCCTCTTGCCTGCAGCAGACTGATGACATCTTCTCAGTCTAGGCAAACTCACTGGGGAGGAGTTCAAGAATGGCTTTTTAATGTTGGTGGAGCTTTTAGGAAAAATATTACTGTTTATTTGTGATAGAAATGTAGCCCTCCCAGTCCCTAGCAGCACATATGATTCCTTTGCTGCTCTGTGGAGAGCTGAAGGATATGCCTATTACTTCTAGGCAATTAAGAGCATCTGACACACTAAATGTTGCGGTGCTTTCTGTAATAAAGACCACTGCTACTCTCTTCCTTATGCAGAGTGACTGGTCTTGTCTCCGCCCCCTCCTGTAGCTTTATGAAGGCAGTCTGTAGTGGGTGGGACCTCCCTCAGCCCTCTAGGTACATGTTATGTGCAATGTTGTGAATATGTCACTGCTACTTTTGTAAGATGATAACAGGGTTTTCAAAGGTGTTCAGTGCCCCCAAAATAGATGTATATCCTTTGTAGCCAATCAGGAATATATTTAAATATAACTTTTGCTCAGAAAGGAGCTTTAATAATCCAATTTGTGTAGGAAATACTAATTTCCACTCCTAGTCCTGTGCACCGCGTAATGTAATCCCTCCACGCACATGCCATGACGTACCTCTGGAAACTTGTAAGGGGCATCCTCTGTTCTCGGCAGCGAAGAAGCAATCCCCAGTGCCGTCCATGATAAGATGAATAGAAGATTCAGTGACAGCGCAATAGCGATATGCTTTCTGCGAGGGAAACAGAACACAGTGGGTGCTTTCATCTCCGACAGCTGAGAGGGAGCTCTGCCCGCAGGCACAGCCGGTTAGATCAGTGAAAATGGTCTCTGGGCTTACCTGCCAAAAAACTTCCACTTTACTTCAATTAATTTCTGGATAACAGGGTGTATGATGATGTCTAGCTGTCGGGCCTGCACAATGACTTCCAGCTGGAGAAGCATGACAAAGAGATAATATTAGTTTCAGCAGATTTTCACGCTTGCCATTCGTCACGCACATCACGTACGGTCCACCTGCGAATGCCGCGGATGATGAATTCTCAGTCAGTGGCGTAGCGGTATTGCCAGTGAGACAGCTTCCAATCTCATAGTCCTTAAGGCTTAGATCTGACCCCAATTCAAGAAGGCGCGTTCCTTAGGAATCAGTATTTTGTTTTTAACATGCCAGAAAGATCAGCTTGATTTAAATAACTATCAAATAAAAAAGAGGAAAGCCAGTGGTGTCACTACGGGGGTGCAGCCCGTACCTGGGTGACACCATTGAACGGGTGACACCAAAATGACTGACAGTCATTTTGGTGTCATCCCCTCTAAAAAGTTGGGCACTATGTCATGGACCGAGAGCCCGACAGTTGCAGGAGAGAGGAGGGGACCTGAAGGCATACCTTATCCCGCCGTGTGAACGTACGCTCCTCTCTCTGCCAGCGTCAATCACCAAGATGGCCGCGCAAGCACGATGATGTCACGGAAGGGTGTCACCCAGTACCTGCTCCAGGTGACACCTGGGCTCGGGATGCCTCTGAGGAGAGCTAGTCAGTTTACAGTAACATCATTCGGTTCAAGAGGTTAAAATTTCATGATACAGCAAAATATCACATTTGAATAAGCTTAATGCAGAACTTTAATGCTGCTTTTGCTTATTTAAAGCTAAAGTTAAAGTTATACTCACGATCGCTCTTAAACTGCTCCCTCCAGCCTCGCCAGTGGAAAGGTGACCCCCTGATGTCACCTTAAAGAGAACCTGTCACCTCCAATGTGCTATCACATAGGGGACTTGTGAGCCCTCCATGTGATAGCCAGGAAGTTAAAAAAAAAAAAGTGAAGTCCCCCGACCCCGCGAACGCACGCATACTAATGGAAACACAAGTCGGGTTCACCTATGTATGAAAACGACGATTGTGCTACACAAGTCAGGTGTCGCCGCCTGCGCCAGAGTGAGAGCAAACATTTTTGGGCCAATATTCATGCTTGATGATTATTGGAGTTTTTCAATTCACATTATTTTAAATCCATGAAACTTATTAAAATATCTAATATAATAGATACAATATTTTTTTTTTAAAATGGGTAAAAAGTAATTTTTCGTTTCAACCTGACAAATTCTGCTGCTGGATTTGCATTGAGGTGCCATTAATTTTAATGCACCCCAAACGCACCTCGTGCCCGCAGTGCGATCATCCGCACTGGAACGTGCGGTACTGCAATGGCCTGTGTTCCAGTGTGGTGCGATTGCAAAAATTGTGCATGCAGTTTTATTCTGAAGTAAACTTTATGTTTGTAACACTGCATCTGTGTATTTTTTTTTAAATAAAAAATTTAATTTTTTTAAATCCGATTAATCAAAAAAATAATTGGCCAACTAATTGATTATGAAAACAATCATTAGTTGCAGCCCTAGAGCTTTACAAGGGTGCGTCATAAATAATTCCAGTGCCTGGGGCAGCAAGATGTCTAAATACAGACCTTCATACTGGAAGTTTTAGAACCTCCATCAGTCTAGTTTACATGTGCCCGCTGTAAAATAGTCTTTTGGTTTAGTCAGCCTGATATAAAAACAACCCCCAAAAAAATGTCCAGCGCAGGCTTTTCATTAGACGTTCTATGGTACAGCATCTGCTGACAATGTTATAATTCATCTTCTTGATGATGAACAAAATTTTTCTTCTTCGTGGCAAGAACTCATTAGCTCTTTTGCCCTGGATCCACGGGGCCGTTCTGCTGAATTTGACGGCCATGGACACATTAATGAAACTAATTAAATCTGCCGTCCAGTTTAACAATGCTGAAAAAATCTTTCCGCCTTGGCAACCGCTCTGCCCAGTTCATTTAGGATGATTTACTGGTATTAGCGGGGAAAGCGGGGTTAAAAGCAGACTAAATGGAATGTTTCTCCCATTAGTCCTTCCGCTGTGTCCTAAAGGGCATGTGTTCACGGCGTCAGACATCAAAATAGATATTGTATATTAAAAACACATCAGGAAATTGGTTTTTAATTGATTCAGAAGGAAAATACTGTTGTGCAAAAGGGACCGTCATTTCATTTTTATCATTGTTTTTTATTTTTATCCTTTGAATTGCTATCATGTACAGCAAGTAATAAAGTTACTCAAAGATCTGAGATGACCGTCACCCGTCAGGACAAAACCAGCCAGATCAGGTGACAAACTCATGTGTATGAATCCTATCTATGAGAAGTCTGCTGGGGGCACAGTTAAGTAAATCCAACTGCTAAAATGTCATAGAAGCCCAATTGAAGCTTTGGTGCAAATACTAAAAATGACATTAACGTGCATCAAAATAGTAAGAGAGCCAAGTCCCATATTTTTCCATGTTCGCCACCCCCTGGCCTCAGTGCAAAAATCCTTTCCTTGCTGTATGCTGCAGTCAAGGACCCTGCACTGCAAGCATTGCTGATTGAAGTGCTGTAGGTTTTACTTACAGGGAGTGTATTGGACTACTACAGAGAGGTTTGCTGATATCACACAGAGGGGAAAGGTATATAAGGACTTCAGGATGTGGGTCTGGATGTAGCAAATAAGGACTTGCGGATGTGGGTCTGGATGTAGCACATAAGGACTTCTTGACGTGGGTCTGGATGTAGCACATAAGGACTTCTTGATGTGGGCCTGGATATAGCACATAAGCGCTTCTGGATGTGCGTATGCATGTAGCACATAAGGACGTATGGATGTGGGTCTGCATGTGGCATATAAGGGCTTCTGGATGTGGGTCTGGATGTAGAATATAAGGACTTCTAGATGTGGGTCTGGATGTGGCATATAAGGACTTCTAGATGTGGGTCTGGATGTGGCATATAAGGACTTTCTGGATGTGGGTTTAGATGTGGCATATAAGGACTTCTAGATGTGGGTCTAGATGTAGCATATAAGGGTTTCTAGATGTGGATCTGGATGTGGCATATAAGGGTTTCTAGATGTGCGTCTGGATGTGGCATATTAGGGCTTTTGGATGTGGGACTGGATGTAGCATATAAGGACTTCTAGATGTGAGTCTAGATGTGGGTCTGGATGTGGGATGTGGATTTGGAAGTTGGCGGCGCATGTTACTGGGGAGGGGAGTAATTGTACGGTACCTCTGTCCGGCGTCCCTGGTTGCCAGGAGCTGGGCGAGACACCAGCCACAATGTCCTGCTCAGCTCCTGGCAACCAGGGACGTCAGTGAGCTAGACAGGACACCGGCCAAAGTGCCACAGGTCGATCTAAGCTCTTAGAAACCTTAGAAAGTTCATGTAGAGCACAGTAGTTCCTGTGAGGCTGCTGTCAAGAAAAACAGGGTGCTCCTTATCTAGGGGACCCAGAATTTAAGATTCACATGTGAAACATCTAATAAAAGGTGCCAAACCAAAGATTTTATATCTTAAAATTAGTGTATGCTCATAGCAAAGAAACGTAAAACAGCCAACATGTTTCAGGGCACTGATGCAACCCCATCATCAGGGCTTAAAATATTTGGTGAGCTTGAAAGCAGGGCTCAGTTTGGGTTGATTAATAACAGAGGCAAGTGGTTTAACAACTGATTCTGGTGGCACGCGCTGTTCTATGGTTCTTTTTTTATTAGCAAACATTAGTATTAAAAGATGTTGTACTCTCAGAAATTTCCTCTGGTGCTCTCTATAAATTTTGAGGTTTTTATTGCTGCCGCTGTTCCACAACAGTAAGTGAGAGGAAATCTCTCCAAACTTAGGAAAAATCCCCTCTTAGTTGTCACTCAATGGTTTCCTCACAGGAGTCCTCATTGGAAGATTTCCTCTGACCTCCTGTTCCATAAAATTTTGTATATCCCATCACCTTCTGAGTCTGTGACAATGGTCCCCATAACATAGAGAGAAGTTCAATCTCCCCAAAGGGGACAGGGACAGCAATAAAAACCTGATAGATGTTCTAACCCTGCCACACTCCATCTTAAACTATATAATACAGTTGGCAGATGTCCTCATTAGAAGATTTCCCCTCACCTCCTGCCCGTTGCTTTGTCCAGGTTGAACACCTACTTTCTCTGACTCGTGATGTGGTTCCTCCCATCGGCTCATACGTTACTACATGATGTACACGATGACGGGAGGAACCATAGAGCATGGCAGGGGAGAGAAGATGTTCAACACACCCCTGTGGAATACCTTACAGCATACATAAAACAGCATAAAACAGAAACGCGCTGTTCAAAATAAATAGACTGCCTTATAGCAACATGCATAAACGCACTAGAAAAATGTGAACCAGCCCTAAACTTTGTCTGGCTCTCCCCATTTCAAGTGTGACAAGACTCTGAAAATGAATGTATAGAAGGTCTCATCAGAAAGCATATGAGATATGCACAACATTTTTTTCTTCTAGGAAGCTCCATCTTTTATCTACTATACTTTTGGAAGACACGTACTGGAGATTTGGCTTGTGTTCCTGTGAAACCTAGAGTGAAAAAAAAAAGTATTAGAGAAGCCCCATCTATTACAGTACAACAGATACACAGTAGCCATAAAGGACTAAGCCATACAATAACAGGGTCTCTGAAAAGAGCATTTCTTAAACTAGCGTCCACATCATTCTGCTGATACTGTACTTGAGCAGAAATTCCCCAGTGACAGAGAACAAAGGGATCACTAACCCGCTCCTATGGTATCACTCACTCCATTGTAGGCTGAACCAGTAATTTGTCAGTATGTTGATGCTTTATGAATGGCGAGCAAGTTTCAGCCATCAAGCTAGCAATGCCGTAGGTGAGTAGTCTCTTTAGGGCTGGTGCACACCTAGGCGACACCTCACCGTGCGGCAATCGTGCGCGATTCCACGTGGATTGCCGTGTGGTCAGGAGTCGCCTAGCTGTGCACCGATCACGCTGTGGGTGCCATTATTTTGTAATGGCACCCCAGTCGCACAGGGCTAAAACAGCCGCGAGTCATGTGACGCACAAAAAAGGTACATGTACTTTTTTCTGCGATTGCGGCGCGGATGTCACCTCATTGAAATCAATGGGGCCGCGGGGCAATCGAGGCCTGCATTGTGCAGGCGCTTTCAGGGCCTCAAGGGTACCCCTTCATCAGTCATTCTGAGCCTGATGAAGTGGTACCCTTGAGGCCCCGAAAGCGATTGTAACTGAATGGCAATTTGTCATTAAATTGACTTTTGCTGAATTTCTCATTGGTGTGCTGGCGACAAATTTTGCTACTTTTGTGTAGTTCACTGTGCCGTCCGGGGTCGCTACAAGCACCCACCTGCTTCTGCAGGTTTACTATTGTTTCGGTAAGGAGTGTAGCTGGTTACCTACTCCACTGCATTGTGCAGGACCGCGCGATCCCGGAACGCGCAGGTCTGTCCCGGACCTTAGTGATTCTGTTCCTGCTTTTAACTGCTGACATCGACAGGCGGTAAAGCTCCATGCTCACTCATGTAATAGACTACAATCTCAATACAAATTGATAAACTAAATGTGAGATTGTAGTCCATCACTGGAGTTAGCTTGGAGCGGTGACTACTTTACAACACACACAGGGACCCTGGGAAAAAAAAGTAGCCACCCTCCAGAAAGAGGGACAGTGTCAGCACCAATTCAGAGATGATTTGAGGATCTACAGCTACAGTCTACAGTGATACACAAATAAGATATATTTTTGTTAATAAGATACTTGAATGTGTGTTTAAGATTTAACTCTTGAGTCACTTTACGATAGATAAGCCAAGCACATCACACTGACCCGAGTTCTGTAACTCCACGTGGTTGAGATAAAAGTGCTGCTTTCGGTTTGGACGATCCTTAGTATGGAACTGATCCAAAGCCAGAGATGCCTAAACGAGATAAGGAAACACTGATTGGTAAAAATACATTAATTGCACCACAAAAAACCTAATGAAAATGTTTACAAGTAAAGACCTAAAATCTCCTGTACTGAAATTGCTCACATTTCCGTACAGGAGAAGATCCTGAACAATTGTGCAAGACTAGTGCGAAGTTCAATTTTAAACTCTACCTGCAGGGAGATTTTCCCTCACTTCCTGTTGTGACACCTGCCACCACGACAGGAAGTTAGGTACCAGACAGCTATAAATAGTTGACACATGTTCTATGCCTTTCTTATTCTATTTAAAACCAAAAAAATAAATGGGCTGAAGGTAGCTTTAAAGTTATTTTAAGGTGGAACAAACAGTTTTGGCTGCTCATCTTTTTATATCTGCTTGCCACTCCTCTTTTATCCATTGAGGTTCATGCAAAGAGCTTCAGACTTCATATAGTAGCACATGAGGTAGTAGAACAATTATCAAACAATTTCCAGAAGGCGACAGGTAAAGATCTCATTAGGAGAGGTTAAACAGTCAGGAGAGGATGTTGTTTCACTCCACGCCGCATAGGAACTGGAAGTGTGGGCAGAAAACGTCCATCTACGTATGCTGTAAATTGCAGGTCTTCATTGATGGCTATGCATATAAGTAACTAAATGCACGCAAATTACAAGGTAAAGGAGAAATAATTGGATTAAATCAATGATACTGGAGGATGTGGGAGAAGTTATTCTATTAAGCGTAGGGAAATTACCTGACATTTGTTTTGTTAAGATTACATCCAGGAGACTTTGAATGGAGACGGACACTTAATAATATAATGATGGTAAACAAGAATACAATATTAGATGATAGCAACTCCACATACGTTTAAACCAGTGTAACCTCAGGACCCACATTTGTTCTTGGTCACTAAGTCGCTACCCAAGTCGCACCATACTGGACACTGCGGTACCATGCATTCTGGTGCAGGTGATCGATCTGTGTGAGTGAGGTGCTCTTGGGGTGACATTTTCAAATGAACGGCAGCAGCAACGCACCGCCTGCACTAGACATGCACTAGGTGCAATTGCGTGGTACAGTGTGTTAATCGCATGGGACTATGCAATTGATGCACTGTACTAGTCTGAATGGGCCCTCCAAAACACTGACAAACACACACAAGCACAATCTCACACACACATAGGGCACACTCCAAAAAAGAAAAAAATAATAACAATTTTTTTTCTGTTAAGATGCAGCCAATCTCCCTACATTATGAGAACTGGAGTGGATCCTCAGCCTGGGTTGCTGTGCTATGATGGAGCTCCATCCATATTTGCATTGCTTGTACAGCTCCCATGCATCCCCTGTAGAGGTGCCGGGAGCCAGAATGTGACTCCACTCTGGTCCAGGCACCTCTACAGGACACGCGAGGGAGCTGTACAAGCAATGCACATATGGATGGTGATCCGCTGCGGTCATACCCGCAGCCCACCCCACCTTAAGCTGACACTCAGCGCCAGGCAGCATATTTTGAATGGCTGCTTTGCACGGGGGGAGGTTGAGGATCCTCTCACTTAGCACAGTGGAACGCACATAGCGACCTACTGAACACAGGGTTTGCGACCCATTTTTTGGTCACAACCCACCAGTTGGAAACCACGGGTTTGAATGCACAGTCCACCCAAAAGAGTTCCGTTCAACAACTGCAAGCAAGGGAAGCTCTGAGTCCCTCTGGTTGGCAGGTACATAGGGCTGAGGACTCTCTCTCCTGCCCTCATGTGATAGGGCTGGGCCAATAACAAGTACTGTCACATTAAAGGGAAGGGAGTTACATGGCCATCCATATCCAGAGTTACCGGGTAATTTCTTAGTTCCTGGAAAATGAACTAAACTGCAGGGCAGCAAAGGAAAATGAGTTCGTCAAGCTAGGGAGGGGGTGCATTATAGAAAATCTGTTGGGTAAATCACAAGATTGCTTTAAAGGTGAACTCTAGGAAGAAATAAAAGACAAATTAAATCACCTCTGTCCTCATTTATATCTCAATAAATGTTTTTTTTTTTTTTTTAAATACAAGCAGTGTTAATAGCTGAATTTGACCTGGAGTGGGAGAGAAAGAACAAGCAGCCAATCAGTTCATGTGCTAACCAGAAACATGCTGATAGGAAGAGACAGCAAAGTGACAGAGAGATGAGCTAATCACTGTGCTGTTTCTCCTTTCACTGTGCAGTCACAGGCTGGGCAGAGGTCCAGGACAACCTGGGTTCAGAGGAAGTGGGTTGAATGATGCTTACCATCAAACAGAGGACATCTAGAGGCAGAAAATAAGTACTGAGTGGAAGTCTCGGGATTGAAGGAGAATACTGCAGCCAAAGTTGGTTTTGTTATTTAAATGTTTAATGGACTATTCATTTTATCTTTTTATTTTTGGCTGGAGTTTTGCTTTAAAAATGGAGATCAGTCAGATTGATTGACATTCACTTAATGCTGAAGAGTTTGGAGAAGGCAGGAGAAGCGAACAAGGACAACATAGCTGAACTGGAAAGCGAGCTGAATTGGAGAATTTTTCCAAATCAGCTATTTTGTCCTAGATTGTTCCCTTCTCCTGCCTTCTCTTCACCCTTCTGTGAATAACCCTGTGAATTGTTCTAAAAATGCTGATCTGGTTGTCTCTAGCTTACGTTATTTAGCCAATTTGCCCAGAATAGGAATGTAGATCAGGAATAACAGAATGAAGTCACAACTAGGGATGTGCGAAATTGAGAGCTTCCATTTCCCTGGAATTTTGACCCCAAAAATGTGAGATTTTGGCGAGATTTCTTGCTGATATGCATCAGACTCAATGGTATGTACAAAATCAAGGTGGTGTTTAAGGGTGCCATGACTCCTCAGGGTTTCAGAAGCTCTTTTCAACTATCCTTGACCTGTCTGTGTGCCAAAGATCAATCCCATTTTTTTTTATAGAAAGAAAACAGTGAAAACATTTACATAATATATTGGCTAGAGTTCTGTTTTAAGCCTTAAAGGGTTTCTAAACCCTCACGTTTTTTTTCATATATCTATTGCTTGCTGGCCATAGATATATGCAAAAACATGCAAGGGTTTAATGACCCTTTAAGGTCCATAAGGGGTATACAGGTGCAAGAGCTGGAGTGGTTTATAATGTCCTGTAAGCAATGAGAAATATTGTTCTAAAGTGCATATGCTCCCACAATGCAACAAAGAAAAGTTAAATACAAGTGCTTTACTTATAAGCCCCTACAGTCCGGAATTGTCCCTCTGGCAACTTACCACGGGTGGCATGTTTAACACCATCATTGTCAGACATGACAGACCAGTGTCATCCTGAACACTTGCATCACATTTGAGATTTAGGAGCAGGCGAGCGGCTTCACTGCGATCTGACAAAGATAAATCAAAACATCAGACTGATTGCGGTGCTGTAGGTGGATCTGTCACTTCTAAATGTCTTATTTATCGATCAGCAAGCTGTGACATTTTCCAATATACTTTAATTTCACAGTTTTCTCTTTCGAGAGAAACAACTGTTCTGACTATTGGCAGAGCTCCTTTAGCTTTTTGGAAATGCTCATAAAGTATATGAATTTCACTGAAGAAAAGTCGAGTTATCCTCTAAGGGTCAATCCACTCAAACTTTAATTAAGTTTATTACAGACGCTGGAGAGTTACACAACCCAACAGTTTCTTCTCTCTTTATTGGTGATTGGACTCTATTGGTGAGATCTCTGTGCTGAGTTCACGGGCCTACACACCAGATATGCCCATCATGAGAGGTTCCCACTCTCCCTGCTGAATTTGTATTATGATACATTATGGTGGATGTAAGAGAAAGAGCATTCTTAGAACAGAAGGTATTCACATTTCATTACAAATCCCATTATTAAGAGAGTTATTACTTATTTAAGGACATAAATAAGTAACTAATAATCCTTCAACCCACCTGAGAGTGACCCTGCAGAGCCCACCAAATGATTCTTTAACACCCATTGGCTAAATGCATATCCAGAACCGCTGGTGTAAAGTGCACATATAGGCTAATATTATAGAGACATTCATTTCAAACTGCAGACAGCTGTTTTAGACTTTTTGGCCATGATCAGTGCAATTTCTGTAGACCTAAAATGACTTCTCTGGCGTAGGGCCTGGCAGGGGCATAACTAGAAAAGCCAAATTTTGTATGGGGTCCTGTGATTTCTAGTTACGCCCACCTGATATCCCAAACAACGCACCTGAGAGTGACCCTGCAGAGCCCATGCTAGACTCTCTATGGTGGGCTCTGCAGGGTCCCAGGTGGGCTGGTCAAACTCTCTTACCTGTCAGCCCTGATCACTCTCCGCCTCCTTCTCTGGGTTGTCAGTGATCTGAACAGCTGCGTGTTCCTCCTCACAGCCGCCAGTGACAGCCAGCAGCCTGATATGCCATAGCGACCCAGGCGGCCCGCGCAGCATCAGGGGGGTGTCCTGGCCGGGCCCCCCGTGCCCCAGGCCCCATAGCGGCCGCCTGGGTTATTATGGTGATTGTTCCGCCACTGGTGCCTGGGATCTAACAAGAAAGTATATCTATAAAGGCTATGGTGAGAACAACAGACTAAAGGAAGCTAAAAGCCCTTCAACTGAATCAGTGCATAGCAGAGTAGAGCTTTATTAGAACAGAAGTTATTTACATGTCCAGGTTCGTCCCTACAATGAGGCAGCCTGAGGCTGTTGACCCAGATGGCATCTCTTTGGGTCATGTGGGGGGACGGTATGGCCACTCTGCTGCACAATGTTTTTGGAGTGCCTGCCGCCCTCTTTCCAGCCAGAGCATCCCAGATTGCTAAGAGCCAGGTGGGGAGATGTGTAAGGGCCAAACACATCTCCCTGCCCAGCTCTTAGCAAACTGGGACACTCTGCACGGCATCCCGCTGAGCTCCCAGCAACCAGTGACAGTAAGCTAAGCATGACCCCGACTAGAGCATCCCAGGTTGCTAAGAGTTGAGCAGGGACATGTGTATGGCCTTTACAAATCTCCGCCCCCAGGCTCTTAGCAACCTGGGATGCTATGGCCAGCTTTACGCTCAGCTGGCCAGTGCGTCCTGCTCAGCAGACCAGAGCGTCTCACCTAATCCATATAATTTATGTATAATATCACTTATGGTTAAAATAACCCTATAGGAGTGAGAAATTAGTTTTCGATGCAGCTAGTCTTTAATCAATTTAGTAAACCTAGAGTATTATCTCTCAGGTGCCGAACTCGCTGCTACTTACCGAGTCCTGCAGCCAAGTGAAGGGGTGTGCGGTGTTTGTGATCCCGAGCAGTGGCGTCAGCATTATTCTTTATTAGAATCTTCAAGGTATTGGTTGCATCATACTTCGCAGCATAGTGAAGCGGCATCTGCTTTGCTTTTGTTACAGCATGAATGTTGGCTGGTAAAGAGATAGTGTGATTGAATTTGAAGTCCAAACTCAAAATCAAATGACTAGCAGGCAGTGTACACTGTGCATATCCATTTAGAATGAACCTATGGTATGTATACAGTGTCTTTCAGATATATCTATAACTATACTCAGCGATATTTGCTCATTACATATGCCGGTGACTAGTACAATTGAATACCATACTGGACCAAGGTTCTAATCAGTCTTGGCTGGTGACTTTTGATCCAAGGGTATTGCCATATCTAATGAAACCGATAGCAGTAGTAGTCTTGCTATGTAATATCCATTGATCAATGCCGAAAGTTTGTAGTTGGCTTAGGGACTGTTCACACAAACATTGCGCTCAGGGCCGGATTTCCCACAAGGCCAACCGAGGTCTGGACTCGGGGCAGCAAGAAGTAGAGGGGCAGCAGGGGGGTGGAATTCCTATCTCCCGAACACCCGACACATGTAGTTCCTGGAGCCGGGCAGGTAGTTGTTTTGGCAAGCAGGGCTAAATGTGCAGAGGGGAAGCCGCCGCTTGTTTTGTACAAGTGATCTCGCCGATGTTGCCAAGATCACTTGTATGCAGCCTGCATACAGGGGGCGCATTGAGGAACTTGGCATTGGGGCAGCAGAGAGAGTAAATCCGCCCTTGATTGCGTTATGGTGCGTATGACAGGTGCATGCTAGTGCGTTTTTTACTTTATTTAAAGGGCACCAAAAAAACATACATTCAACTCTTTGAATAACAGTGTGGTGTGACGCGCTGCTGTGCATTGTAATGCTTTGTGCATTGTATTGCATAAAAATGCAGACATGCTGCATTTTTTATGTAAAGCACTGGTATGGCGTGATCAGGGCACATACTCACTCTCATACTCATACTCATGTTCACTGAGTGTCCTTTTGTTGAGCCTGCATTGATCTAGCTTGTCAACACAAGCCTGGAGGGAGTGAGCCCTAACTCAAGTTATTAAAGAAGAACTCTGTGCAAATAACACATTAACCCTTGCACTGGGGCTACCCGCGCACTGCAAGGGTTAAAGTGACATTAAAGCCTCAGATTTTTTAACATATAACAATACTGTAATGTGCGCCTTAATGTAATCCATGGTTGTTTCCCTTCTCTTTGCTGCTCTTCCTTTTAAATCGGTATCTCTTCTCATGCTGGGCAGAACTTCTGTTTTGCAGTAGACTGCCTTGTCTCTGGAATGGCTACATGGTGTCTGTGTGCAGGTTCACAACCTGAGCCAGCACTACAGGAAGAGGCACTCAGCTGCAAAGGGAAGTTCTCCCCCAGCATGAGAAGAGATACAGATTTAAAAGGAAGAGCAGCAAAGAGAAGGGAAACTACCACGGATTACAGTAAGGCACACATTACAGTATTGGTTTATGTTAAATAATCTGAGGGTTTAATGTCACTTTAAGTGATCATTTTACTCTGGTATCTAAAATTAAAAAAATATACTCTCCCAATTCTTGATACAGCCTGGCTGTTAGACCAGTCCCCCCAACCTCTTCTCCTCCGGGCACCAGAGATCTAAGCCCCGCTGACGTCCTCATGCTTATTACAAGTCTGTTGACTTGCGTTGGATGTGAGGACACTGAGGGACATCCCACAGCTGCAGGATCAGGCGTGAATATCTTTTTTATTTTAGACCACAAAGAGTACCTAACCCTTGCAGTGTGGGGCAGCCCCACTGGAAGGGTTCCTTTGTAATTTGCCCTGAGTTTTTGTCTAAATAATTGTATAAATCAGGGGTAGGCAACCTAACCCTTCCTGAATCTATCCCAAAAAAATAATATAATGTTGTGGCTGGAGTTGTACTGTAACTGATTTTATATTACGCAGGACAGGGAGCGGAGACACCATATGTGGGTAAAAAAATACCTAGAATACAACAGAACCAAAAACTATCACTATTACCATAATCATGATGAAAAAGAAACAGAAGAATAAAAAGTGTGAGCACTATACTCCATCTGTAAATGAATAATGACTTTTAGGCAATTGTGGCCTTAGAACAATTGTGGCCTGTGATCTTAGAGCTTCATTCAAACTATGTGTGATTAGATATTTTTCTATTTAAAAAGCTTTTGTAAATGCAAATACATTTAAAGTGACAATGCTGTTATGTTACCTCCTCGCTTTAGTAAAAAGGTGACCATATCCGAAAAATCCACAGCAGCTGCTACGTGCAACGGGGTGACGCCATAGTTGTCCGCCTTATTTACATCAGCCTGGTGCTCAATCAAGAACTGGGCAACTTCAATCTGCCAGCTTTTGGCTACCTAAGTGTAAAACACAAAATATGTTACATTAGAGAGAACTGCCTATGGAGGAACAGTATACAGTATAATATGTGCTATAAGAATTTGAGTGACACGCCAGGACCAGAGGGTTGGATAGGATCCATGGGAGCTAAGCTGTGACTGCTAAATGTAGCCATTGAAGGCAGTAAGAAGCCTTTGCACATTTGTGTTCCAATTAGAGGTGCACCGAAATGGACATTTTAAAACCGAAACGAAACCGAAATTTAAAAAAATTGTCGTCAGGCCGAAACCGAAACCGATATTGAAAATGTTTATTTTAATTTTTTCACATTTTTTAAATATTTTTTTTTTATAAACTTTTTAATTTTTGTATATTTATTTGTATTTATTAATTCCTTTTTTATTACATGTTTTTTTTTTTCTAAAATTTGTTTGTTTAAAAAAAAAAGTATCTATTTTTTTTCTTCGGGGGGCGGGGGTCCTTCATGGATTCTTGCATTGGGCCCTGAGGTCACTAGTTACGCCTGTGCCTTAAATGATGTCTCTTAATCCGATCTTCTTATTCTTTCCTGTCCTTTTCAGCCTTCTCTCCAGCGGTGCGGCGGGTCTCCGATCCAGCGCTGACTCCTCTGTCCTTGCTGGCACTTCCGGTCCCACAGTGTCTGCATTCGGGTGCACGCGTCCATAGACTTACCTTGCGTCTCTTTTTGCATATATCCAGACATCCCAACCTGCAAAACCTTATTTCAGGGAGGTGCCCTTCTCATTTCAGGGAGGTACCTTCTCTGTTTTTTTTTACTTTGACAGCGGCCGTCGGCCACCTTCACAATAAAAAAACTAATAGCGGGAGACTCCCGGAACATCCGGGAGACTTGGGATGTCTGATATATCTACTGCTTGCTAGCCTCAAATATATGCAAAAAAAACGGCGGGTTTAGAAACCCTTTAATGTAAATCCTAGTTCCTGTGCAGTTCTTGTCCACAAAAGTATGACACAGACCAGGTGCTGCAGCATCTTGTGACTTGCTACAGTTGCATATTACAGTGTTGCAGTGTGATCACTGGGTCAGAGGACTGCTGACATCATCTTAGTCTAGGCAAAGTCACTGACTGGAGCTCAAGGATTTTCTTTTTGATGATGAAAGGTAGATCTTTTCTGCAAAATCATGCTGTTGCTGTATAAAGTGATATGTCAGGAATTTATTCATGCAGGCTGAAAGCTCCACTTTAAGAAAGTCTCCATAGCTGTTATCAAAGCCAAATGTGCTCCAGCACTATGAGGGTTCGTATTTTTTTGGTCATTGAGTACATAAACTAAATGCATTGTGTTAGACGTATGCTGTATTTTCAGTCTCACCTCATGCATGACTGTCTGTCCATGCTTGTCAACCTCATTCACATCAGAGCCTTTGGAAAGGAGCTGTTCGATGGTTTCAAAATGAATCTGCAATGCATCACATATTTATTACTTTGTTCATGCGCATCTAAATGGACATCAAAACAAATTATTTCTCTAATATGAGAAAAGGTTGTCGTACTTGTTCATAATGAAAATAATATAAAAAAAATACTTTGGGGGTTATTCACTATAGCCCGTACAGCAGCTGAAGGCAGTTGAGCACTCAGCCGGAGCGGCCTGCCGAAGGGCCGGCCGTTCTCCCCGCAAATGACAGCTGGGCGGAGCCAGCCATGATCTCACGGCTGGCTCCGTCCAGTTGTAATGACAGATCAGCGTCCCTAAATGACCTGGGGACACTGATTGGTCATTAAACAATAACAACTGGGCGGAGCCGACTGTGACTTCACGGCCGACTCCACCCAGTTGGTATTGTAATGGCAATCAAGTAAAATGACCATTTGTTTTAATATATATGTGTGTAGCTGCTCTTTCTGCATTCCTTAATAGAAGTGACTCCTCTATCTGCCTCCCCCTCCCATCGTGTGAAGAACGAGAAACTAAGATGGCGCCTCCTCTCGGGACTACACCCAAGATAAAGATGTTTTGTTCCTCGAGGAAGTTTACCTTATATGGACATAATCAATCAGAAGCTTATAACGCTACGCTCACATGACCTTGGCTCACAGTACTAGCTGCTTGTCTATATAAACCTTCGTGCCTTATCGCAATAAACAGAAGCGTCATAGACCTGGTCACTGTGTCTGTGTTTGATGCTTCCGGTGCACCGTATGCAACATAATTAGGAAGAGCAGCAGATAGCAGATATCTTGTGTGATCCCAGTTGTGGTTCTGATCCATTTCAGTATTCATTGGCCGGGACCTGCTAGAAGACTCTGGCAGGTGTTGGCAAATAAGAAACAATTGGGCGGAGCTAGCTGTCACTGCTAGCTCTACACAATTTTTTTTCTTTTTTTCCTTTTCTTTAAAATGTTTTTCTTTTTTTTAAGTTTCCTATTTATTTACATTTTTAGAATAATTTTTCAACTCTTTTTTTCCCCATTTATTTGTCTTATTTTCTATTCTGCTCGGTTCCTAAGCGTCGGGAGCGTCGGCTCAGCCGATCCAGATGTAGGAACGGCTGAGTCAAAGTCCCTCTGCACTTCGGCTAAGCCAAACATGCAGAGCATGCAGACCGAAGGCAGCTGATGTACGGCTCATATCAGCCGTACTGAGCCGGAGTGAATAGCCGAAAGACGTTCGGCTCACTTCACTTCGGCTGGCTTATTCACTCGGCTGCTTTCGGCAGCGTTGTGAATAACCCCTTTTGTTTTGTGTCCCTTTATTTATGTATTTGTGTATTTTTATATATATATACTGTATATATATATATATAATGTATATGTAGCAGCTAGCAGCTTCCACACTGACTGCATTAAAGAAGTGCTGCATAAATAATGCTGCAAATTAGTCTTTATTTCAATCAGCCGTACAAGAAACGTATATGAATGTTCCTACGTACCGCCGACTAATTTGTAACATTATTTGCAATGGAGTGCACCACTCTTTGTTTCTTTAATACAGGCAGTGTGTATGAAAGACCACTAATACATTTGTAAACATACAATAAAATAAAATATTTTGTTTAAGGGCCTCATTAAAATCAGCTCTGCTTTGGTGAAATAACATGCATGTGGGTCAGCGCACATTGTCTCACTGCCTAATCCACCAGAAGGGACCAAAAGCTACGCATGCAGTATTTTCGGCAGTGAAGCTTACCACAATGCGCCGTAGTGTGCAAGGAAGGTTCGTTGGGGTGCCATTCAGAATGAATGCATGTTATCACAGCACACTGATGTAAATAGGCCCTAAAGAGCCTCTCCATCCATTGCTGATATTTCCATTTTGTTTGTAGATGCTGGAGATTTAAACCACCTGACAGTTTCTTGGTCCCTTGGGCAGTCTATAGATAAGATCTTTGTGCGGAGTTCCAAGGTCACCGGTTGTGCCCAATATGAGGGGCTCCCACCATCCCTGCATTGAGTTCCCGGGTCTGTACACCTGCTGGGCACATTATGAGGGGCTCACACCACCCCTGAACCGAGTTCCTGGGTCTGTACCCCTGCTATGCCCAATATTAAGGGCTCCCACAATCCCTGTACTGAGTCCCTGGGTCTGTACACCGGCTGTGCCCATTATCAGGGGCTCCCACCATCCCTGCACCAACTTCCTGGCTCTGTACACCTGCTGGGCCCATTATGAGGGGCTCCCACCATCCCTGCACTAAGTTCCTGGCTCTGTACACCTGCTGGGCCCATTATGAGGGGCTCCCACCATCCTATCAGTCCCCATTTACAATTAAAATACCACTGCTAGAGGGGCAGACCCTTCTACAATGTTCCGGGTGATCATTACATATTAACAATTACCAGCTGATCTTCATCTTTGGATAATTTGATAAAATAACTCAAGACGGTTTCATTGGACCCTTTGATGGTGACTTCTTCAGGGAGATGAACAGAATCTTCATTTTGGTCCTCATGCTTCGCCTGGAGCCCAGAGTAGGTTTCCGAAGAACTGCGACCTGAATTCAACAAAAGACAGGCCATGACAACACCGGATTACATCATCGCCATTTTCTTCATTCATAGAAAGCTAAAATATTAAAGAAGAACTCTGAGTGCTATCCTTTCATGACTACATAACACAACCCCATTCCCATGATAAAAGCAGTGTTTATAGCAGGGGTAACCAAACTCCAAATGTGGTGGAACTACAAATCCCATGAGGCATTGCAAGACTCTGACAGCCACAGGCATGAGTCCCAGAGGCAGAAGCATGATGGGATTTGTAATTTTACAACAGCTGGAGAGCCAAAGTTTATCTACCCCTGGTTTATAGGATACAATAGCATAGTCCTTGTGCCATGTTCATTACTGTACCTTTCTTCTGCCTTTTTATGACTGAACATAAAACCCCCAATGTGACCTCTCATGACAGGTTTACTTTAAAATATTCAGTCTATCATGAATGCAGCTGCTAGACCGCTCAGTGTTTTGCAACCCCCCTCTGCCGATCCCTCCACTGGCTTCCAATTGCCCAAAGGATAAAATTCAAAATATTAACAACCACTTACAAAGCCATCCACAACTCCGCCCCCGGCTATATCTCAAACCTTGTCTCAAAGTATCACCCTAACCGTCCCCTCCGCTCTTCCAAAGACCTCCTGCTTTCCAGCTCCCTCATCAACTGCTCCCATGCTCGCCTCCAGGACTTCACTAGAGTATCTCCCATCCTATGGAACTCTTTACCCCAACCTGACTGCCTTTAGGCGAGTGGTTCTCAACCTGTGTAAACTCAGGACCCACATTTGTCCTCGATCATTAAGTCGCGACCCAAGTCGCACTGCAATGGAACATATGGCAGTGTGGGCTGCTGTGCTGTGATGGAGCTTCATCCATATGTGCATTGACTGTGCAGCTCACATGTGCGCCTGCATAGCTGCTGGGACCCAGAATGTGATGTCACTTCAATCCAGGCACCTCTACAGGACATGCGAGGGAGCTGTAAGTAATGAAAGTATGGAGGGAGCTCAACTCAACACTTGGCGCTGGGCAGCATATTTTGAATGGCTGCTTGGTGTAAGAATGGAAAATGCTGCGCTACGAGCAGCCTCCCACCTAAAAAAGTGGAAGGCATGTGGCGACCCACTGAACACAGGGTCGTGACCCACTTTTGGGTCACGACCCACCAGTTGAGAACCAAGGCTTTAGGCGATCACTTAAGACTCATCTCTTCAGGGAAGCCTATCGTATCCTACCTCAACGTAACCACTCAACCATCACGTTCTCAAACAATTCATCCCCACGCAGCTCCCTCCTCATGTATCACTTGCCCCTCCCTTTTAGATTGTAAGCCCTCGGGGCAGGGCCCTCCTTGCCATCTTGTCTTGAATTGTATTGCGATTGTAATGTCTTCCTTATATTGTAAAGAGCTGCACAAACTATTGGCACTATATAAATCCTGTAATAATAATATAACAAAAAATAGGGAAAATTGGGCTTTAAAGGTGTCACTCTAGGCACCTTGTGTGGTAGTATCTAATATCATGTGGTTTTATATATATGTGTTAATGTAAGTTCTAAAAGATAGCTATTTGTATTTATACCCCTGATATTTAAATATTACAGACAGTCTCCTATCTTCCTGAGGAAGCTTTTAGCGAAATGCGTAGAAGGCTGGACCACGGCACATCAATGCAAGACTATAGGAGGTTTATTGCAATGACATTATATGATGATCTAAAGTATTTGAATAAGATGTTTGGGAAAGTGTTTATCACATTGTTGATGCATAGAATGCGGTCGTGGGATCCAGGGAGGCCATATGCCTAAAGTCATTTTAGATAATACTGTATCAAGGGAGTTGTCGTTGATATAGCATCAGTGGCAATATGCTTATGCTTTTTTATCTATATGTTAATCAATAACACATTTTAATAAAGATGTATTTTAATAAAACGTGTTTTGTATGCCTAGCGTGACACCTTTAAAGCTCCATTTTCCCTATGTTTTGTTACATTTATATTTAGGGGTGTGGTGTCCCGTTCCTTATGGTGGTTCAGAACCTTGTGTGTACTTTACTTTAAAATATGGCAGCGCATATTACAGGTACTTTCAGGTAGCTTGCAATAACTTGCTTCCTTGCTGGATATACAAGTTCTGTGCTATAGGGGCACATTTTCAACCTTATGCTGAGTTGAGTCCAATACCTTGTTTAGAGGTGTCATCTTTAGATCTCTTCAGAATGGGTACGTATTTGGCATACTGAGACTGGATCCACGATGGCTTCTCATCAGCGGTAATCTCGTCCTCCTACAAACATAACAAACTGTTATCCAAAGATTACAAGGGGCACATTACAAAGTCAGCGCAAAGTGTAGTAATCCATAGCA